AACTCCACGTTCTCCAAATTAGATCAAAACCAATAGCAAAGAATAACTCCGGGCAGCCCTCTCTATTAGTTCATCAGTAACTTTAAAAATACAGAGCACTTGTCACCAAATATCAGACTGTCAATTTTAGAGTTTAATGATGGGTGAAGTAGGGAGTGTTGAATCTGCATGAAAATTTGAACACATCAATTAAAAAAAAAAAAAAAAAATCATCGCACAAAAACAACACTACAAATGCTTTATTTTCTCTACGATAAAAGAACAGGTATGTTTACAGGTGCAGGCTGCAGCCTGACTGCTCATTAGTTTGTCATCTCTTGAAGTTCAGGGTCTGGCTGCTGGGCTGGGGTCAGAATTCACTCAGCTTTAACATCATACCGGGGTCTTATCTAGCTCAGTGTTAGCATGCTCTCTGCGTGCAAAGAGCCAAAGTTATGTGTACATAATGCAGCCGTTTCCATCCTGGATGAAGTTTGCACACCACTCTCTCATCCTTTTGTGCAATAAAAATAAACATAATGGCCATATCCACGCTGCAGACTCTGCCACTATTTTCCTCCTTTGGCACACAAACAGAAATCAGCTGACTACAGTGCAAGTGGAGGTGGAACCAATAAAAAGGATCGTTAGGCACTCAAACTAACAATTCCAAGAAATTGAACTACTGGGAATTGGCTCTTGTAGAGAACCGGTTCTCGATTCCCATTCCTATTCTTAACAGAAATCTTGTTAAACAATCTGCTTTTTAAAAGGGTCCACAGAATCAACTAGTTGTATTTGTAGTGGCACACTGTTCCAAAGGCTGGTGTCACACTGAAAGGCGCCTCCGGTCGTTAGTCATGTGCAAAGAAGAACTAAAACTTTGCAGCAACTGTGTGATGCAGTTGAATCTATGCCATTTAAGGCAGTTCTGAAGGCAAAAGGAGGACCTCAATAAAAAGAATAATAATTTCTTGCCTCAGAATTCCATACTCAGCTTTGTAAGGACACAAGGAAAAACCGTTCACAAAACCGTAACCTCAAAGTAACTCCCTGTCTCTGTTTAAGTTCCGTTTTGTGCTACAAAGTCAGGTTAGTAGGATAAGCTGGATGCAGTTCTGATGAAAAAGTACTGTGACATTTACAACACATAAACTTTGGCGCAGCCGCTAAGCAGGGAACATCTTAACACTGGATCCAGATCCCTTGTTGCTGTCAGGACCTGCCGAGTGAGTAGGTCCATGTATTATTCATGGAAGCAAGGACATCGGCCTTCCTTTTCCAGTGTCACACCAACAAGCCCCATGTCTGCTAGATTCACACACAGAGGGGAACCTAC